GAGCGGGCGGAGGGTGAGGGGGAGAGGGGTTGCGCGGGGCGCGGCGCGGCGGAACCTAATTCGAGCGTCTGTGCCATCCTGAAATTCCCGAAGGAATGCGTTGAGACTCGGCCAAGCGCAAAGCGGGAGCCGAGCTCAGTTGCGAGTGAGCGCTCAGCGTGTTGTTTCCTCGGTGCGCTGCGCGCTGTTTCCTGTCTCAGATGTCGCGCGATGGACGGTGAGCTGGGGCGCCATTCCCATTCGCGAGCTGTGTTCGATGTAGTGCGCGATGCAGGCCTCTGCGGCGGAGGTTGGGCCCCCGGGCGGGGCGGGGGCGGGGGCCGGGGGAGGNGTGAGGCCCCCGCCACCGGGGCCACGGGCACCGCCTCGGGGACCCGCATCCATGTGAACGGGGGTCGCTTCGACTTCGACGACGGCGGCACCTACTGCGGCGGCTGGGAGGACGGCAAGGCCCACGGCCACGGGGTCTGCACCGGGCCCAAGGGACAGGGCGCCTACACCGGCTCCTGGCACTACGGATTCGAGGTCTCCGGAATCTACACCTGGCCCAGGTAACCACTCCCACCCACACTTCACCCACCACACCACCTCCACCAAGGTGCACTCACCTAACTCAAACGAGAAAAAACCACTAACAAGTGCCCCGAATACTCTATGTAACCAGATGGAGAAATCCTGCCGGGTCCACACCATTTCGCGGGGAAATCAAAGCCAACAAGTTCCAAAAGTTATAATTAGAGTCAAAAATATTTTAGTTATATAAATTCTTTTAGTTATTTTTGACTCCAATTATAATTTTCGGAACTTCTTGGCTTTGACTTCCCCGCGAAACGGTGTCCTGACTCAAACCTAGCTGTGCTACGACGACCCCGTTGCCCGAAACTCAGCTTTTCTTCCCGCCCGCAGAGCCCTAGCGCCAGATTTCAATTTCAACAACTTTGCAATCTTGCCCGAAAACAATATCACCGTCCGCTCTTGATAAAAACAAACAAAGTCCAAGCCAGGAAATTCTTCAAGGGTGAAAATTCATTTACTTTTAGTGTGATGGTTGTTCGTACGTCTGTATCGACAGTAGACTGGCGTACTTGCTTTCGGCCAAGACTGCGAAGTTGTTGAAATTCAAATTTCGCGCCATGGCTCAGGTGGCGTGAACAAAAAGCTACGGTTTTGCCAGAAGGCTCAGCAGGAGTATACCCACGTTTCACTTACCTTGCAAGCCTCCCAATTTTCTTCCGAAATCCTTACGTCTTCTTCCCACGATTCAAATGAAGTGGGTCCCTCCACTATCGAGTTCCGCCATCAGTGGAGAGAAGGATGACTCTCTCAAGTTTATTCGTCGTCTCCAACGACTGGCCGTGGCCGGGCCGGGGGCAAAATCATCGCAAGACTCATGTCTCGCCGCCTCCTCCACTGGGAGTGACACGTTTTATACTAGGGCCCACGAACGATGATCCCTGAGCCGCGGGTATTTCTTGCAAACACTGGCAACAGCGACACCCCGGCCCGAACCGAGTCTCGAGTTCGGGGACAATGCCGAGCCGAGCCACAATCGAACCCTAATTACTTACGCGTAATTTACAATTTCACCCTCCCGCTAGAAAAAAACAAAATTTGTTGAAAGTTGTGTAACATTTTTTTAGCAAGTGTTTCGTTACTCTCCTCTAAAACACGAGTAAAAAGAGGCCTCGTTTATAAAAATCTGTCAAATAGCAGCAAAGTTACAGTTCGAGATACGATGTTTTAAATAAAAATTGGACTTCGCTTCAAAAAGGAAAAAGAAGGAAAAAATAAAAATTGTATATGACAATTATATATGATTTAGCTCAGAATTTTACGAGCAATCCAACCATGTAATGGACGAAGAGATTGGGGCAAAATTACAAGAAATTGATCTTTTACGAAAGGGCTTCCTATGAAGAATTTTGACCTGAGGATATAGGGGTGGAATAGCAGCAGTTCGCATACAATAGCTTTTCGCGTTCACAATACCCGGTCTCGTCGATGTGCGTGCTCGACCCTGCAGCGTTGTCCTTTACATGGTCCGTGCGTTTATTCGCCCGATTTTTCAGGGATCATCGTTCGTGGGCCCTAGTATAAGTGTGCTGGAACTTAACTGGAGGCCAGAGGCTTTACAACGGGCGT